GGGTTTAGGGTTTAGGGTTCCTACCAAAGGGCCAGTTGGTTTGAAAGGGGTTTCTATAGGGCCTCTCGTGGCTTCTTTCTGTGTCGCCAGCATCTGGATGACAAACATCCAGCTGCAACCCTAACCCCAACACGCTCAACCTCAACACCCTAGCCTCTAAGCCCTGCAGTTTGGAAGCCCGAAACCCTAAACCCCTAAACCCCTAAACCCTGGACCCCCTAAACCCCTCAAACCCCCTAAACGCCAGACCCTAAACCCTAAATCCTAAACCCTAAATCCTAAACCCTAAGCGCAAAGAACAGGTGTGGGGTAGCTGGGCTCTGCTGCTGCCCAGGAAACTCCAGGCCCAATCCTTGGTGAGGGAGACGGGTTTTGGCTTTGGGGTATAGGGCTTTAAGGGTTTACGGCATAGGGGTTTAGGGTTTAGGGGTTTAGGGTATAGGGCTTTAAGGGTTCAGGGTTTCGGGCTTTAGGGGTTTAGGGTATAGAGCTTTAAGGGTTTAGGGCATAGGGCTTTAGGAGTTTAGGGTTTAGGGGTTTAGGGTTTTGGGCTTTAGGGGTTTAGGGTTTCGGGCTTTAGGAGCTTTGCGTTTAGGGCTTTGGGGTTTAGGATTTTGGGTTTAGGGCTTTAGGGGTTTAGGGTTTAGGGCTTTATGCGTTTAGGGTTTGGGGCTTCAGGGGTTTAGGGTTTAGGGCTTTAGGGGTTTAGGGTTTAGAGCTTTAGGGGTCTAGTGCTTTGGGGTTAGGGTTTAGGGGTTTGGGGTTTAGGAGTTCAGGGTTTACGGCCTGGGGTGTTGTATGACTATTTTGAGGGATGTCAATTGTCAATACATCCGGGGCTTTGTCTGAACTTGCAACCAGTACTTATGACTACGACGACGACTACTTGCTGTGCTACCGGGACTGCTACTACTGTTTGGACTGCCACTGACGACGACGATCATGGTGGTGTCAAGATTACATGCTTGCACTGCGTTGTTTCACTCTGAGGGTGGTTCTGGTTATGTTGGTCGTGACATCGAGCCTCATATATAGCAACAAGATTATCAGTAATGATTAATAATAAGAACAAGAGTCGGAATAAAACCAATAAACACCACTAACACTATTTATAACCATGATGACAGTACTCAATAGCTGATGATAACACTTTATAGTAATGACAGAAGTAATAGCAATATTCATGAAAATCATAATGACAATACCTTTAGCAAAAGGATAATGAACCTGATGTTGCATAGCACATCCGAGCATCTTCAGAGCAGAAGAAGTGCCTTCCATCTGCAACGATGCGCATTGCGAGCTCCGTTGTGAACCACCACGCATACCTCGTTTAGGGTCTCGGGTTTAGGGTTGGGTTCAAGCCCGGAGTTTAGGGAACGGTCAGGCTTTTCAGTGGTTCGTCGTAATCTCTTGCGGAATGACAGGAGACTTCTGGATTTCTTATTCATGTCGCCCGCCACAAGCCGGCTAAACTTGGAAGCCTCGCCCCAAGCTGTCGTTGGCTGAGATGTTGTAAGCTTAGGGGTCTACAGGCTGCAGTCATGCAGGTTAAACTCCTCGTGGCTTGGGTGCAATACGACCCGCTTGGGTCAAGTCGTGCAAACCCTACATTACCTTATGGCCACTTGCAAGCAAAACGGTTCTGTATCCCGAGCCCTGCAACAACATGAGCCGGCAAGGCCCAAGAATGAGTCTCAAGTCTAGGGCCTATCGATTGAAGCGAGCGGTTTAGGGTTTAGGGCTGCGAGGCTGAAGCCGTCAGTACTACTTGCAGGTCGCTCGGTCGCTTATCGGCAGGAGTTAGGCACCTTGCCTGGCTCTGCAAGATACTGACAAACCACATTCCATATATGATATTGCCCACACCTAGAAGTACCCATGAACACTCTACAACGGTTGCAGATTTCAGCCGAGAGACAAGTATTGTATAATGACCAAGGTTAGCGGAAGACCATTTGGATATGACTTGCTCATCTCCACTTCGATACCCAGGAACCTCAGAGCAAGCTTCAGCTGGAGCGATCCTGTTGAGGCTTATAGGGCCTAGGGTTGAGGATTTGGGGCTTAAGGTCTATAGGGTTGAGGATTTGGGGCTTAAGGTCTATAGGGTGTAGGCGTTTGTTCGAAATGGCGCGCTCTGAAGTTTACCGCATATGGAGCATGGGGCGAACAAAACTCCGGCCTACAGCCCCCGGCGGCAAACACGACGACTATTTCGTACGGCTAATGCTTCCTGTGAGCAAGACCATTGCTTCAATCCATCAAGATGGCCGTGGTGACTACTTGCTCCCAAGAGTTTAGAGCACATGCCCTGGGTCAACACGCTCTTCGAGCCAGGTTTATCGCTCAACACTCCACATGAGTGAAGCTTGGTAACAGCATGAGAAGTACGATTCCACTTTTCATGAAGTACCACCCTACCCACGGGCCCCATAGTAGTTCCTTTTTGGGGTAATTCCACTTGTCAACAGACTTGGAAGCACATTGAATGTGGGGAAAGCCAAGGGTCCTGTTTTACTAACATTATGGCCTAAGGGCCATGCCTATAGTTCAATAATTGTCGCGTGTATATGATATGTGTGTATTTATATAGACAGATAGATAGATAGATAGATAGATAGATAGATAATTAGATAATTAGATAGATAGATAGATAGATAGATAGATAGATAGATAGATAATTAGGTGGATAGATAGATAGATAGATAGATAGATAGATAGATATGTATATATTGTACACTCTCGGCAAGGCATGCAGTCAACGCAATCCCAGAGGGTTTTGGGCTTTGGGTCTCTTGCTGTAACAAGTCGATCTTGTGACAGAAATGCCTTGGCACATGGTTGTCAATCCTGGTAGCTGCAAAGTGTAGTCAGTGTAGTCTCTTGACTTCCGTTCTGTGCCCTCTCTCTCCGAGGGTCATGAGCCACTATTTCTCCCTGTGTTACCGGAATGCTATTGAACCATCCGAAAGATCCGGTTCCATTGCGACGGGGGCGTCGGTCCTCGAACTAGGGGCCGAGGGGTTGTGCAAGCGGCGAAAAGGACATGGAGTTACACTGCGGTACTTAATCATGGCATGTTGCAGGAAACCGACCATTACCGGCAAGAAGAGGCCTTCGGGGTTTGGCATGAACTGCTTCGAGTGACAGGGAGTTGGTGACCACGGCAAGCGCACAGATCATGTCAAAGCAGGGGCGCTTCACGATATTTGACACACGCCTTCTCCAGTTGGGACACTCTCAAAGCAGGTCGGACTGAGTCTGAAGGGTTTAGGGCCGAGGGTGCAGATCTCGTTACAAGTCTTCATGGGCAGCTCCGGGTAAAGATGCAGGGTAACTGCAACAGATTTGGGATCAGGATCAATCGGCTGCATTTTTGGTGGTGCGGTCTGTGATTGCAAGAACGGATAATGGTGCATCACAGAGTCCTGCCTGTTCATATTGTCTTTGCTCCTTTTAAGTTCAACGAACACGCGGCAAAGTGACCGTTGCTCGGAACGTGCGCCTTGTACTGTACAGTGCATCTTGAAGGATCTTGCAAAAGCCCAGGACAACAACAACAACAACAACAACAACAACAACCACAACCACAACCACAACCACAACAACCACAACAACAACAACATCACAAACACACCTAAACCCTCAAAACCAGCAAACGGCCTGGACCTAAACCCGGCCTGAAGCTCTCAACTTTAGTCTCAAGCAGAGAACCTAGCAAGCTCTATAGCCCTAGCAGACTAACCGACATGCATGCAGAACCCAGAGCTCCTTGACACACCCGATCTCTCAAAGCCGCTGCCTGCCGCAAACGTCATCATGGCCATGTTTTGTTTGTACAGTGGTGTAGCTCTTCGTGCATATGCAGGGCGACCGTCTTTTGGTGGAGAATAACGAGTGTTTGCATGATTCTACTGCTCCTTCTACTCCAGCTACTACTACTACTACTACTACTACTACTACTGCTGTGCCTTCGACTTCTACTCGACGTCTACGTCTACTTCTACTGCTACAACTATGCCCACTGCCCTTCTACTGCACCAGCCCGCCACCGCCGCCACTGCCACCGCCACGGCCACCACGACCACTACCACGACCACGACAAGGACCACGACGGCCACCACCAACACGACCTCGACCACGACCTCAATGACGACGACGACGAATCATACGACGAAAACAAACATGCTAAACGATACCAATACTGAGACGAAGACGACGAAAACGACGAGGGCTGCGACAAGGACGACGACGACGGCGACGACGACNNCGACGACGACGACATAGTCTCAACACAGCGGCAGCGGCAAGAACGAGTGACGCGCAAGCTTGCTACACTCGTCGTCGCAGTAACGATAGCAGAAAAGGAAGAATGCAACGATGTTGCGGACACTGTTGCAGTTGCTGAGGGCCCTAAACATAGAATCCCGAACCCCTAACCGTAAACCCTGAGCCTGGATTGCCTTAAAGTCTTCTTCGGTCGTAGACCAGGAGCGAAGGGAACCCCAACATGCTGCTGTGAGGTCGGGGATTCACGTCATACTCCACAGGAATGAAATTATACTACACCATCCTATAATATACTGTTATACTATATACGCACTGCTATAGACTATACATTGTGTAATATTTCGTCAGTACATACTACCTATTTTATACTTGATGCTCTGGACTATATACTATATAATGGTTGCTATCGAACCGGCACCATCTAGTGTATGTATGTATGTATGTATGT